GGGGTAAATGACTTCATTACCTGGAGCTGGAATTGGAAGATGAACCCCCAAAATGCAAATGGCCCAAACTTATCAAAGTGTGCAAACCCGTGACCCATTATCCATTTTGGTTTGTCTGCCCTAAATGTACCTGAAGGCCCTTCAATAAATAGAATTGCTTTTTATTCTCTTAATTTTGTCTGACCTCTGTTTTTAGGTAAGCCCCAAAAAAGGCATCAGCTGGGCCAAAGAATCTGGCAGAGTTTGAGAGATTTGTGCTCCACATTCCTCACATCTTTTCCCAAAATTTGACCCCAAACTGCCTGACAGGGAGCAGGATTTGATGCTCTGATTAATTCCAGCAGGAAATTTATTCCAGCTGTTGCCATATAAGCCACCTCCAAGGCTGGATCGTGCTGCTCACTCCCACTCAGGAGTGCCACTGTCATTGCCACTCTTACCCAAATGACGGAAATAATCTTCCAGGCCACTCCAAAAATTCTTCTCAATGAAGGATTTCACCAGCCCCCAGGGCTGTTTCCTGTAGCGCAGTTCTGTGGAAACCCTGTGAGGAGAAGAAGGTCAGTCATTCCCTGCTTCTGCTTCCTGGGGGTGATGTCAGTTCACAATCTTTGTCAGTGAAAATCCAGGAAATTATCATGTACACTGTTATTTCTGGAATGGTCTCAGCCCTTCAGGTTTCCAGAGAAGAAGCATTGCTGGAAAAGTCCTTGCAAAGGCAGGAAGAGCTTCTCCCAGGAGTGCTCCACGGCCATTTGACAGACATTTAGATTATCATTATGAAGTCACACAGATACAGCTTTGCCCAGTACCCAATTCCTCTGCTTCTCCCCCCAAGAACAGCCCCAGGACGTTCATCCCATTGCTCATCACAGTCTGCAGTGATAACAGGCTCTGCAAACCCCTGCCTCCAGGAGAGAGGCAAGAAAAATCTGTAAATCCTCTCCTTGATGCACTGATATCAACCCAGCACCTGAAAACCCTGCCCCTACCCTTCGTGACAGGAATGTCCCAGCAAAGAAATAACCCCCTCAACCCCTCCTAACACACCCAAACAGCAAAACTCCCTCCCAAAGGTGCCTTTTGCTCATCATTCCCCGTCCAGGAGAGGTACCTGAGTCGGCTTTTGTTCCTGGCGACACGAGTCAACGTGTAGCGGTTAATGGTGTAGAAATAATCGTGGTAGGGGACGTCGTGAGTTAGCACCTCTGCATCTATGACATAGCACTCGCTCTCCTGGCTGGCTTTGTACATTGTCTGCAGGAAAAAAACAGCGTGCAAGGCAACTCTGAGTGTGGCTGGGGCACGGCTGGCACCTTCAGCAGCACGGGAGACACCCCCAGAGCCCTGCCCTGCCCCTGCAGCTCTGCTGTGAGCAGCTCAGCCTGAAGGGAAGGCAGAGGAGAACAAGGGTTTCACCCAGATGCTGCCCGTGGGCACATTTTACAAAGGAATTTGGTTCCAGCCTCCAGGATTTTGTAACAGAGGTGATGCACACAGTGCCATGTGAGACCTTTCCCTTGTGTCTGGCTTGTCAGGGACCCACCTGAGCTAAAACCAGAGGTTTCAGCATAAATTCTAGCTACTGAGTTTTCTAGCATAAATTATTCTGTGATTCTAAACACCATAAAAACACACTACTGCCTTCTTTTAAGCTCTTCTGGTGTGATTTTCCCTTTGCTCCAGAGCAAGCCTCACCCAGAGGACAGACAGACACAGTTCAGCACAGACCCCTGCACAAAGCATGGCTTTTCCTGCAGGCCATTCCCACTCAGGACACTCATTCCCACTGAGGACACACAGGGGGTGCCTTGGTGGTTGAGCCAAATTCAGAATTAAATAAGCCATGGCTTGTTTATCTGAGAGTGTGCTGTTCCTTTTGCTCATCCCTTTGCTCTCCCTTTTCCTTTCTTCTTTCCTTGTCCCCAGCATTTTCCTCACACCCTCACAAGTCTCACCTTGCTGCTGGCATCCTCCTCTCTGAAATGTGGTGTTCAGATTCCTTTTCCTGGCTCCCTCTTAACAATCCCTCAAGCTCACTCTCAGTATTTACCCTTGGCCACTTGAACACATCTTTGGACATGGAAAGAGGCTTTTCCTCCCTCTCCATGGCAGGCCCTGCTAGATCCAGCCAGCCTAGCTCCTCCCAGTGCAGATTTTCCCCTTTTTACCTTTTAAAGCAGATCATCTCACTGTCCTCACCACAATAAAAAATCCACAACACCCTTTAGAGCTGTGAGAAGGACTGGTCAGGTAGTATCTGATTTCTTTGAGTAATGTCTGCTGGGCTGAGCACAGCTCAAAAAACACCAGTTTGGGTGAGAAAAATAATTATTAAGATGTGCTGTCTTGTTCACAAACTCATCTGCTTTTGCTGGGGAATTTGTGGTGCTTTCATTGCAAGCCAGTGTAGGATTAACTATTCATGGCTGCAGAGACACTGGGCAGCAAGTTAAAGCAAGGAAATGTGAAGAGGAAAATGGGCAGGGACAACGAAAACACGCTCAGGACAAGAAAATAATTCTCAGAAAAGTTTCTAGCAAACATCCCAGCCCTGCTCCACTGTCCCTTACCTGAGTCTCAGTGACTGTGGCAGTTTTGGGGGCCAGAGGGTTGGTGAGGGTGATGGTGTACAGGATCACTCTGGTTTGATTGCCATTTTCCTCCTTCTTCCAGGGGTGAAAGATTATATCTGAGAGGACAAAACAACATTCCAGTCATTATTCGGGGAGGGATCTCTGGTCAGTCCCCTGGGGAAAGGCATAACCATATAACCAAGCTGGGATGGGATTTCCTTCCCCTCAGGGAGCCTGGCTGCTCTAGAGCTCAGCTGAGTGTGAAACAAAGGGCTCCTGTGCTAAATGTGAATATTTTCCCCTCTTTCAAGTGCAGGGAAAGGGGGAGAGGCTGGGGATTGACCTCCTTCAGCAAGCCTACAGGGAAAGGAGGAGTGTGACATGCCAAGGGATTCTCTCTGCAGCTCTGTCCATGTCAGCTGTGGAGCTGGAAGAGCTTTTCCCTCTCACTCTTAAGACTTGAACAGAGGATCAGGCCTTAGGTGATGATAAAAATACAAGAAAATCTGCTTTTCCCATTAGAAAACTGTTAGAAAATGAAACCAGATGAGCACACAGGTCCTGCCTGTGCTTTTGCTTACTGCCAGCACGGGCTATGCTGTCCCAAAATCTGCTGAGATAAAAGCAGATAAAAGCGTAGCCCCAGGGCACAGCCCTTGCCCTGCAGCAGCAGCAGCAGCTCCTCACCAGAGAAGCGGCGCTGCTCCATGAAATCCCTCTGGAACTGGGAGTCAGTGAAGAGCAGGTCGTAGAGTTTGTCCACGCTGAAGTTGAACACCTCGTTCACGTACTGGCGCCCGTTCAGGTCCTCATAAAACGCCTGCACCTCCCCTGTGGGGATGAAACACTCGTCTTAGGAAAATTAGGATTTTAGTCCCAAGTTAGTTATTTACTAGAATTCATTAAAAAGCAAATGGATAGATAGGCCTTGCTGAAAATAATTAAAAGTAAACCAGGCTTGAGATAGTTACCTGAAACTTAAATAATGGATTGCCTGTCATTTTAGGTTTGCTCAGCTGTGCTTGCAATGGGAAAAGATGGAACAAGTAAGTGGATCCAAAGAAACACAAACAATGCAAGCAGAAACTTATTCTTCCAAAAACTGGGCTTTCCCAGAAGCCATTTGTATTGTCATCGATAAAAAACGTCAAGAGTTCAGGGTGAGGAAGACTCGCCTTACTTCCTCTTTTTAAGACCCCTCCCCACAAAAACGACCCCAGACTTAATTCAAGAAGCCAACCACGCATGCTTAATAGCCATTCAAGCTAATTACCACAGGAAGAGGAGAATGGGAGGTGCTATTATTATGAATATGTATTTGTTTGAAGCTTTTGTCGATAAATAGACTCTGTGATCACTTGGAATTTTGCAGTGCAATTGGAGGGTTACCAGTTTCCCAGCACTGAATAAACACACACTTTCTAACTTTAAATTGTTACAGAGTCTTTTGTCCATCACAGTTGAGTATCAGTATTAGACCAATACTCATATTTCGGTAAATCAGGGAAAGAGACCCTCAAAGTCCAGCCATGACCCTCCAGCATGATGAAAAAGGTGTTTCCACAGCATCAGGAGCTCAATATTCCAGAAGGAACCTAAAGGAGGGACTTCAGCCCTTTTCCTGCACTGATCCCAGGGCAAGAGCTGGGACATGAGAATGGCTAATTAATTACATAGCTTATTTTAGGGACATCCTAAAATTGAAACACATTCACTTTCTGCAGCCCACAATGGGAATTCTTTGCATCTTCAGGGTGCAGAAAAGGATTTCAGTAGTCACCACTCCATTCCCTCCTGGGAAAGGATGGGCTAAGGCTGGAAAAACCTCTGATGACCTTTCCCCAGGTAAATACCTTCATCATGGGTGTCTGAGGAGTCACTGAGCTCAGTGGGAATGTCTTCATTGTCATTGAAATCCAGGGAGGGGGAGCTCACAGGGCCAATGATGTCGATCTTCTCTCCCATGATGTTGGCAATGCCAAGATCTTTCTCCACTGGGCTCTCTGCCACTGCCTCCTCCTCTTCTGGGAGCACTCCATCGAACTGCAGCAAGGACAGGCCACAACAAGGGCAAGATCAGCACCTGGAAATGGGCTTTATTTCAAAAAACCCCACATCTGTGAGACAATTTCTGAATATTTGGCCTTGATATAACCAGAAATTAAATAGAGAGAGGAGGATTGCCAATACAGCATTTATAAATACAATTGCCATACAGTGTTTGTAAAACCTCCTCTCAAAAAATCAGTGTTCAAGCTTTGGACACCACCAGTTCGTTTTGGTTTTTGTTTTTTTTTAGACAAGCACAATATTGTCCAATCCTGGTTTTGCTCCAGAACAAGCTAAAAGAACCTGAGGTGATATCTAAACAAGGTCTGCTCTGCCATAATACCAGGAGGGTACACTCTGTTTTCCAGGGAATAACTGAAGGCAGGGAAGAAATTGCAACATTTCTATATCCAAGACTTTTCCTCCAGAAGCACAGAAAGGAAAATGCTCTTGCTGCTGAGAGTCCCAGTGACAAAATCACTGAATCCAAGAATCACTGAGACCAAGGACTGAAATCAGCAGCAGTAGGAGAGGAGCTGGAGGATGAACAAACCTCCTCAGATCCATGGGGTGCTGGATTTCAGGAAAAAACAAAATTCCTGCTGCCAGGGGAGGAGAAAACTCACCGAGGCTGGGGCTTCACTGCTGCCTGTGGAGGTCAGGGTGCTGGCAGTGACAGATTTCTTTGGCAGCTGAGGGCTGGCTTCTGGCTTGGCCTCCATGCTGCTCTTGGAGGAGCTGTCGTTGACTTCATTCTCCTCCACGGGGATTTCTTCACAGTAGCTGGGACGCCACAGAGAACACAGGTTTTTATGGTTACCCCTCTCACAACAGCTACAGCTGCACACACAGAGCAAGTGAGAATGTTTCTGTGAAGTTTCCACACTGTCCAGAAGCAGGAATGGGCTCAGTGCAGGGGAGAGCAAGCCCCAGTTTTTTGGGTATTTATACAGGGACTGACAAGCATCAGCGTTTTCTGGCCATGCAGCCCTGCCTGGCCTTGTGACTGGGAAGCTTTGGCATTTCTAGAATTGCTCAGCTGGCTCAGCAGCCATTCCAGCCCCTCCCAGCTTCCAAGAGGAAATGCTACACTTCCAGCTTTGTAGGCACCACACACTCAGCAGCAACCAGAGCCCAGAATGTGTCAGGACTGTCACTGTCAGGTTGGATGTCACACACACACACACACACACTTGAACAGAATAACAGCAGCATCCCCTTTATTCTGAGTGTTCTGCAGTTCATAAATTCTTAAAAAAGCATGATCTTAAGTTATTGACTGCAATAAGTTATTATATTCATTGGTGCAAAGCAAATAGCATGAATATATTTGGCAAAAGCTTTGCAGAAAGTCAATAAAGCACATACACACGTTAACTACAAAAATCCTTCATGGATCTTTTTTAATCAGGCTCCACACTAACAGCCTTGTCTTCTTCCTGGCTATGGATACATTGGGAATTCATTAATTGCTGTTTTTTCTGCTAGCTCAGTTTGGTTTACAGGCCAGCTGTCAAGCCCCTCCTGGCTGGACAAGCAGAATTTGGAGGAATGCAGCACATGCTGCTCTGCTGGGCCAGCTCTGCTCCCTGGCACACAGAGCTGAGCCCTCCCCACTCACCCCATGGTGTTGAAGTCATCATCAGGAGGCACATAGTCTTCATCATCACTGGTGAGCCCCAGCTCGTTCCCATAACACTGGTGGACAAAGTGCCAGAGCTCCTTCGGACACAGAGGCTGAGACAGGGGATACACAACATCACTTATTTGCAGCCAAAAATGCCAAAATACACTCAAAGTTTGGAATTACCATTGCCAGGAGCACATTCCTTGCCCTGAAAGGAGAAGTAAGAGATTCTGACACTTGAGGTGAGAGCCTTTCTGTGGGCCCAGCTCTGTGAAATTCCATTTTATGGAGTTTATTATTATTTATTTCTATATTACATATTTATATTTTTCAATCATATTTTATTTATACTAATTATCTTTTATTTATCTATATTTATATGCATACATATATATTTATATGTACATATACATATGTATATTTATATTAATATATCATGTTCTATATATAATACAGAGTTCTATATATAATATAAAATATGTATATATGTATGTATATGAACATACACATATATGTATGAATATGTGTATCTAATATAGAATTTTATCTAAAATATAGAATATGTAATATAAAATATTTTATAGATGATCATATATAGGAATGTATAATATATGTAATTATATGCAATGTTTTATATTATTATTTTATTTTATTTTAATTTATTTAATCTCTGGCATAGATGTTGCCCCCACTGAGCACAAGCAGGCCCTGTCACCAATATTCCTCCACCATCAGCCCAGGTTCTGCCCCAAAATCTGACACTGGGATTTTTCCATGCCACAACCTCCTGTTAGTTAAAAATATCAGAAAGTTCCACCCAGAGCAGCACATGGGTGAGATTTTCTCTCAAGAGTGCAGGAATGAACTAATGGAAGCACCAAACCTGCATTTCCCTCCACAGATGCTTTTCCCACCTTTTCTGCTGTGCCTCCCTTTAATGTTTGCTGCTCCTCCAAATCCCAAGACCTTATGAGGTGGTTTTTTTTCCCCCCCCCCTTTCAACTTTGTTTGAATTAAAGCTGCCTGAAGAATCCCAGCTGCAAGGACAATGATCTAAAACAGCAACAGAGAAAAACATTTCCTGCTGCAGCTTGGAATCAAAAGGAGTTTGTGTCACCAGACACCCCTGTGAAAAGTTAAAAATGTAACAAAGAGAAAATTAATTATCCAGCCCATTGAAAAAAGCCCAGATTTTAGGGATGCAGGTCAGTGATCACCACATGACTGTGACATGAGATTCTGAAAAATGGGGCAGGAAAACTTGTGATTTCAAGATGTGGCACAGGGATGAAAGGCGATTTTTACCCATAAGAAACTTATGACCAACAACAAAGAATTCTTGGTAATGAGGAGAAACGAATCCAGTGAACTTTTTCTGAGTTGTTGGCTTGAATTTCTTCCCATAGTAACTGCATGGGATAAGGCAGGAATTTTTTAATCTAGCTCCCCACAGCAGCAACCAAAAGCATGGGAAAAAAAAAAAATCCTCTAATGAGGAACTTTCATCCAGAAAAACGGGACTGTTCCACCTCCTTCCCACACACATTAACTCACATCCATGTCTTATCAGGAAAATTGGACTCAGCTCTTTCTCCTCTCTTCCTGCCAGCCACGGATCCCACATTTGGAAAAAAAAAAAAAAAAGCTCTGGAATTGCTTCCTGTGTTTATCACTCTGTGTCTCAGTTCCCATTAGGCTCGACCTTGAGCCCAAGGGCACTGAATTTCCTTGGGAGCTTCCAAAGGCTGCTCAGGTTACAGCCCCTGGGGCAGCACAGGCAAGGTGATCCTCTCTGCTCCTAAATCCTACCCCCGAATTTTGGGACAGGGTATTCCTGCTGCCTCATTCCCCCAGCGTGGGGTGAATTCCAGCCAGGACACCCCGAGATGCTGGGAGCACTGGAACATCAGCTTAGCTTATTTCTGGGAGGCCAGAAATACCCTCCCCACAGCGGAACACATCAAATACAGGATTTACAGGCACAGCAGGAGCAGGTTTATTTTAAAATCCAGCCCACTCAACTTCACCCAGTGCACCCTGCACCCACAACTGCTCTCATTTGCATTTGGCATGTCCTGAACACTCATTTTCTGGATTTCCACACTTCTGGAGCACTGAGAGCTCTGCCTGCACAGTGAGTTATTCCTGCTGCTTTTTCAGCTGCTTTCTTGAGGGCTGCTGCACAGTGGAATTGCAGACTTCCAAAAAAAAACCAAAAAAAAACTTCCCTCCTGAGACCCTGATTCCTCAGCAGAGGCAGAGTGGCACCTACTGTGTGTGATTTACCCCAGAAAATGGGTGATTTACTCCAGAAAATGGGTGATTAACCTCAGCAAATAGGTGATTTATCCCAGAAAATGGGTGATTAAAAAAAATTCCAGCAAAAAATTTCCTGCAAAAAGAGGGAATTGCATATGAAATCATGAGCCTGCTCTGCCTAAACACTTGTATTTAATGTCCCTACTGCCTGAACACTCGTGTTTGCTGCCCCTGGGTGTTTTTTTCAGTCAGAAGTGATGCTCCTGCCCTTGCCCATCACCACCACCACCCTTCCATCCCACCCCAGCTCCCAGGTTTCTCTCTGTACCTTGTCAAGCAGAGCATTCTGCCAGAGTCTGAACATCATCATGTACGTCCTGTCTCGAGCCCCAAAGGAGGTAAAAAAGTGCTGGATGGGGAGAGATGGAGAGAAAAATCAGTTCAGAAAAAGCCAAAAAAACAGGGGAAGAACACAACAACTTCCCAGCTGGAGTGAGCCATCCATCCAGACAGAGTGAAGCTCATGGAGAGGCCGGTGGCTCTCACCAGGGAGTGAGCACTGAAACAGCTCAGTTAGGGACGTGCTGCTGTAAAACCCGAATATTTTACTGGTCCCACACCCCACATGTGAGCTCCAGCCTCAGCACAGACCCCAGCCCTTTTCCCACTTTGGAAAAAAAACCCCACACACACCCTCAGAGCCCTGGCAGGCACACAGGGTGGCCCCAGCAGTGTGGGATGTACCTTTTCAGTGTCAGTGCAAACTTGGATGGCATTGGGAATGAGCCGTGCTGTCTTCTCCTTGGTCATGGAGCAGATGTCCTTCAAGCGAACTGTCAGCTGCACCAGGCAGGGAAAAAACACCACAGGAGGGAGAAACTGGTGAGAAGAGCCCTGCCAAAGGACAGGTGAGCACAACCCCAGGGCTGGGAGCAGGGGCAGAGCCTCACCAGGGTCTCCCAGCGGAAGATGTTGCTGTAGAAGCAGATCCAGTTCTCGGAGAGGTAGAGGCGGCCCTGCAGGAGAATGTCTCGCTGGAGAGCACATGAGTAATCTGGGGGAGGACAGCACATGGTCAGCGAGGGGCACAAAAGCCACAAGATGTGGCTGATGCCTTTGTGTTTTAGCCTTTGGATTTTTCAAATCCTGCGCTGCATTAATGCATAACTCTATATAAAGTGTCATCTGCTGACTTCACACCTTGGTCAGACAAAACAATTCCTCTGGGCCTGAAACTCAAGAATACCCTACAGCCTCAGGCTCTGGAAACTATAAACAGAAGTGAACTGGGGAGCAGAGAAAACTGGGAGAATATGGCTTCATTACTGAAGCTGTAATTGGAGGATTAACCCCTGGTATGCAAACGGACCAAACTTATAATTGTGTGAAAAACTCGTGACCATCATCCATTCTGGGTGTAACCCCTTGAGGAGCCTTCATCTGCCCTTATAATGTACCTGAAGGCCCCTCATTAAATATATCCAATTAATAAATAGATGCTTTTAACTTCTGTTTCTAAGTAAGCAAAGGCATCAGGGCAGCCTAAAGGTGAGGATGAGCAGCAGCACCAAGAGAAGCCACTGAGCACAGCAAGGCAAAGGCAGGGCCAGCAGGAGCTCAGTCACCCCACCAGGCTGTTTCCTCCCAGGACTTGTCACAGACAATCTCTTGTCTCCCTGACTGATGATCCTCTGCAGCATCCCATTAAATCTATTTCCAGATTTAATCTCTCTTTTCCTTTCTGTTTCCCGGTGTCATTGTGCATTTTCCCCCCCAGTTTAAGCATCCCTAATGATTTCCATCCCTCTGCCAGCACAGGCAGCTCTCACCGGTTATGTGAGATACAGGATTTGGGAAGGGCAGTTGTGTGTGAGCAGGGATGTTGGGAAAAGGGAGGAAAAAGGGAGGAAAAAAGGGAGGAAAAAATGACATCATCCCCCATCAAATGAGGAAAATCCATCAGAAAATGCAAAACCCATTGGAAATGGGGCTCTGCCTGTGCTCCAGGCAGACAAAACATGCTTGTTGTCAGTGGCAATGTCTGGAGAATGAAAGGAATGAGGGATTTGTCTTTACAAACTGACTGTGGGTCTGCTGGTAGATAAAACCAGCACTGAGAGATGAAAGAAACAATGGGAAGGATCCCAATGATTGATGAAAGGAATGAGAGATTTGTCTTTGCAAACAAACTGAGTCTGCTGATAAATAAAATTGGATACTGAGAGATGAAAGAAACAAGGGGAAGAACAATAAATTCCAGAAGAATTCACTGAGTGACACAAGAAAAAAGCGGGGTACACATAGTAGGTGTGGTTTTGGGAAGTCTGGACCTCTCAAGTACCTCAGCCAGTGGGATAGAGGGAGGGAAATATGGCAGGGAGATTGGGATAAAAAAGGAGGTTGCATCCTCTAAAAATGTGAGACATTTTTAGAGGAAATACACCATGGCCTCTCCCATTATTCAAATAAAGCTACAGGACTCCTCTATCTCCTTTTGGACACAAACCTGTGCTGTTTGTGGATTAATTTTCCTGCCAAGGACTAAAATCTGGATGGATATGTGGAAAGCACAGCTCTGGGGCTTCCCTTACCCACGATGAGGCGCTCGGTGTCCGGGAGCTGCTTGAAGAGTTTCCTGAAATCCTCATTTCTCTGCTTGTACGTGGGACTCAACACCTGCAAAGAAAAAGGGTCTGGTGAAGAGAGGGACAGCCAAGGGACAGGGGAATGGAGTGGGAAAAAACACCTCGGGTGCAGGAGGAGAAAGGGACAGAGGCACTTGGAGAGGGTGAGGCCAGGATCCCATCACAGCCCAGCCATGGGAGGGTTTGGGTTTTGGTGCAGGGAGTGAGAGGAAGAGGAGAACCTGACTGGGAAGAGCAAATCCAGGCTGCAAAGGCTGCAGCCCTGCCTGCAGAGGAATTCTCCCTGCCTGCAGTCAAACACTGTCCGAGGTACAGAGTGTGCTCTGCTTGCATCAGTCCCCAGGAATGGCACAGCTACCCCAGGAAATGGGGATTCACCAAGAAAAGGGGGATTTATCCCAGAAAATGGGGAATTCAGCACACAAAATGGGGGATTTACCCCCCCAAAAATGGGGGATTTACCCCAGAAAATGGGGATTCATCCAGAAAAGGTGGGATTCACCCAGAAAAGGTGGGATTCAGCACAGAAAATGGGGATTCACCAAGAAAAAGGGGGATTCACCCCAGAAAATGGGGATTTACCCCAGAAAATGAGGATTCACCAAGAAAAGGGGGGGATCTACCCCAGAAAATGGGTGATTCAGCACAGAAAATGGGGGATTCACCCATGAAAATGGGGGATTTGGCCCTTCTAGAGGACCTTGAGCAGTCTGGAGAGCTCAGGATTCCCCATGCCCACCCCTCTCCCCCACCAAACAAACCCAGCCAGGTGCTGGGATGGTGAGAACACATCAGAGGGGCTCCAAAAGGGCTCTCCCAGGGACTGAGCCGTGTCCTGCACTTGATTTGTGTCCTGGCCCCAGAGAAGGGCTCGGGGAACTCGGGGCAGCTGCTGGAGGGACACCAGGCTCCTCCCTGGGGTTTATGGTGAGTGCCCACACCTCCTGCACCCTGTGCCAGCTGCTCCCCACAGCCACCACACCTTCTGAAGGCTTCAGAACAGGGGCAGGTGCAAATTCACAGCTCCCAGAGAATCTGCAATGTTCCTTCTCCCACTAATGTAGGGAAGAAGCCACCTGGGGTACAACCTTTTCCCTCTTGATCCAAAAATCCTCCTCCAGAGGCACTGATCTCTCAGAGAAGAAATGTGAGAGTCTTCCAGCAAGAGCACCAAAAATCTGAGATTAGAGAAGGCAGTTTCTGCTTAAGAATGGTGGTGGAGTCACAGGGGTGGGAAGAATAGAGAGTTTATTTAGAATTAGCCTCACAGTGCTGCCAAATGCTGTCAGATCACAGCAGATTTGATGTTGGTTGTCAAATCACAGACAAACCCTCACCCCCAAAAGCATTCCCTGCTCCTCACAGTGACTCACTGGACTAGAAACAGAATATTCCAACACTTGCTCCAGCCCTGTGGGCCCAGAGGAAGGGATCTCACTCTGAGTAAACCCTGCCAACCAGCAGATGACAGAAACATGAATTTTACTTACCAAACTCCCAGCCTGAACATCTGGAAAAGATCTTGGTCTGAGATGGGCTCCAGCAAGAGCCCAAACCCAAGATTTCTAGGAACAAGCAGACGGGAGTGGGGAAAAGGGATCATAATCCCTGCAGGGCTGAGCTTTGGGCTCAGTGCAGCCCAACTCAGCAGGAACTAAAACCTGTCCTAGCAGAGGCTCTGCTCAGCCCCAGCAGCCCTGCCAGGGTGCAAACAGCTCCGTTCAGAGACACTCACAGCTGGGATTTCATCAGATCCAGGGCTGGCATTTCCTTGAGAGAAGTCCACAAGTCCCTCCAGGTCCCACTGCAGCCACGGCAGCTCTTGATCCAGGAAAAGATCCCAGAGGGAGCCACACTCCAGCAGGGAATCCATCTCCTTCCCTCAGCACAGCTCCCCGTGTCCAAACTCTGCTTTTCCTGCTCCCACTGCTCCTTGTTTATGTCCAAAGTCGAGAGAGCTGCAGCAGCTTGGCAGGGCTTTAGGTGCCTTCCCCTGCTCTCCTGCCCACATCCAGCCCGTGTGAGGCAGCCCCTGAGGATCTGAGCGAGGATTTGCCCTCCAGAGGACTTTTCCCAGAGAGGCTCATCGGGGTGACCGTGCTGGCAGGCACCCTGTGTGCTCTGCTGCTGCCGTGGGCATCCCCTGGCACTGCCCTGCCCCCGGGCACAGGTAATGGCCAGCAGCGCCAGATCCAGCCCCAAACAGCTCCAGCTGAGACTCACGCAGCTTCCAGGACCCGGCAGGAAGGCAAAGAGCTGGAGCTCAGCTTTTCCCCCCCTCTCTGGAAGCAGAAAAGCAGCGGTTCTGAGTCCTCAGAGCCTGCCTCGGGCTCTCCCTGCAGTCCCTCTCTGCTCTCAAAGGCAGCCTCAGTCTCTCTGGGTGTTTCTCATGGAAGGGGCGGGTGGGGAAGATCCCAAAATGACTCGCACATGCTTGGAGTGACTGGAGCTGGGGAATTCTGCCGGCCAATGCCCTGCAGTAACCCAGCCCTGCCTCCCAGCAGATGTTTCCTGTAATGGAAAGTTGCTGGACAGAGTGTGCTGGGGGAGGCAGGCGTGAGGAGACACTGGGATCTGGGCCCCTGTCCCACTCCCTGCAACCCTCAGGGCAGGCTTTGCTCTGCCAAACACAGGTGGGCTCCTCTGATCTGCCCAGACTCACTGGGACAGCAAGTATTTCTAGTATTCTAATACTATTTCTAGTATTCTAATATTTAGGAACACCTGAAAGAGGCAGTGGTGTCTTTTCACTGCTCAGGTCAGTTAAAGGAACAAGAAAAATATTCAGGCGTGTGATAGATAAAAATAAAGGATGTGGCTGGGAGGAACCAGCCATGGGAGACACACACACGCAGAAATCTGAGGGGCTGCACCACCCCTGGGTGCCTCTCTGAGCCCACTCTTCTCCTCCCCACCAAAAATGGGGCTTTCCAGGCTGCATTCATTAGTCAGGTTACTTTGGAAATGAAGGGAATGAACTCCCTGCAGGGCCAGGACACTGCTGGGGGTGCTGGCACTCCCTGTGTCCCTCTGCCCCGAGTCCCAGCCTCCCCCTGTCCCTGCTCAGGTGTAGAAGTGCCCAGGTAAATTTGCCCACAACAGGACACCAGATCTGCTCAGCTGTGAGCAAACACTGAAGTAAACTCCTTGTTCTTCCAGAACCGGGCACACAGATCTCAAAAAAGCACCAAGCAACCAAGCCAGCCCCTGCAGAGGCACAGCTCCAGGCCAGGGGTGCAGTTTCCTCACTGACAAGCTCTGCCTGCATCCATCTGCACCCCAAGGTGAAGGAATGATTCAAAAAAAGGCATTCTGTAGCCTTGAAGGACAAAGAATTGGCATTACAGCCACTGCACTGCTTTACTGAATGGCCCTCTTGGCTGGAAATTCCAAATGGGGTTGAATTAAAATAAAAAACCACCCCCAGCCACCTGCCTTTGCAGAGGGGAGTGCCAGCGGTGATGGGAAGAGCTGACCTGGAGCTGGAGGCAGCAAACATTAACTCCACTGCAAACAGAGGGACAGCACAGGGTGGCACTGCCAAGGCGAGGGAAATGGGGACACAAGGGTCACTCCCCGTGGTGGCATCTCCCTGTTACACACAAAAAAATTCCCCCAAATACTCAAATACCTCAGAGCAAATACTGCTGGGGGATGGGACAGGACAGGGAAATGTGAGAACACAAAACCTGAGGAATGCTGAGCCTTGGACAGCACAGAAGACAGGGAGCAGAGATGGCAGGAGGGGGACAGGGGGAAGGAAAACTTCATCCAATCTTCATGGCTGAGGGACTTCTGTGATTTACACAGAAAACTACTGCAATAAAACAGAACACGTTCCCTGCTTGTGGGGGAGAGTTTAGACCCCACTGAGAGCCTGGCTGATATAAAAAGCCAGCAAAGAAAGTGGCCACCTGTCCCACAGCATCTCCTCTAAAGCCATTCTGGCTGCTCTGATTTTCCATCCTTTTACCTTTTCTCCCTTTAAAAGTGAATTAAAAGCAGAGGAAGATGCTTCAAAGTAACCACTGGCCATCTGGGCTGGAAAATGGGTCTGAGTTCATCATCACATGAGTTTGCACCAAAAGTTCACTCCTAATTTAGCTCCTCTACAACCCAGGAATTCAGCCAGGCTGGTAATCCACATGCTGAAATCAAGGAAAATCTGACAGGATGAAAAGTACCTGAAAGGCAGGGAGTTGACCCAGAAATAATTTGATGAAATGGTTACTGGGAGTTAAAAGATGATTGTGCTGATTTACAGAGCAAAGGGCTCTTCAGCACCTTGCTCACCCCTCAGGCCGGGATTTTTGAATTAAACTCCATTCCCCTGATTGCTGCTGCTGAGGGAGGCTCAGCCTGCCAGCCCTGGGAAAGGTGTTCCTGATGTTCTCCCTAAAATGAAGCACAATTCCCCTTTGCCTTTATAGGGAACATTTTATTTCCAGCAGCTGAGTTTCCCCTCCACTGTGGTATCCACAAGAAAAAAACCAGCACTCTGAGACCAGCCAGGGCTGATTTCTTATCAGCCTTGTGATGTCTGGTTATTCTTCAGAAGCTCAAGAGCTGCTCAGAGTTCCCCACAAAGGCCTTTGCAGCATCACAATCCACGATCCTCAGCCAGCTCCTCCTGCAGGAGCTTTCCCTGCACTTTTCCCAAAGGAAAACCCTGGGCTCTCCCCTTGACCTACCTCCCCACTGGCATTTTGGGTTTATTTTTGAGACTCTGAGCCCCTGCCAGGCTGAGGGTTGCCCTGTGTGCACAGATTTGTTTGCAGAGCTGTAGGAGCTGGGTTCCTGTCCCACTCCCTGCAATCCTCAGCTCAGACTTTGCTCTCCCAAACACAGATGGGAAGGGCTGGGCTCCTATTGATCTGCCCAGCAAATATTTCTAATATTCTAATATTTAGGAACACCTGAAAGAGACAATTGGTGTCTTTTCACTGCTCAGGTCAGTTAGAGGAAGAAGAAAAATATTCAGGCGTGTGATAGATAAAAATAAAGGAATACAGAGCAAGGCAGACCTTGGGATGCAAATGCTAAAGTGAAAACCTCATCGATTTAAATCTCACCTCTTCCTTGTGTCAGCTGTGTTTTCTCTAACTATTCAAGATCATCTAATTCATTCTCTTTTCCAGAGCACCCTCTGGATTCTCCTGATGCCTGGTGCTGAATTTAAGAGACAAGGCTTGCTATAGAGCAGCAGAAATGCTGCAGGATATTGAGACACACACCCTAATTTAGGAACAGGGAGGTAGAAGGATCCACAGCCCAAGTGGGACAGAATGAGGCAGGAAAACCATGGCAGATTTGCCTCAGTGGTGACACAGAAATGGGAGCTTTCCCTGCTCAGAAATGGGGCCCTTTGCCCAAAACCCAGAGGAAGGAAAGAAGGAGAGAAAAGGAGAGATTTTATCCCTGGCAGCAAAGTATCTCCAGTTTGTCTCTCACTTTGATGACATCTGCTGGGTGATAAATGCCTTCTCCCACGTGTGGAGTTCCTGACACCCCACAGACAGAGCAGCTCTTCCTTGGTGTCCTCAGGGAAACAAAACACAAATTTCCACCTCTCTGAGCACCTCAGGGGTACAGAGTAAGGCACATCAGCAAACAAAACTACAAAGGAAGTTTAATTTTAAGGTCTGAGGTCTACATTTTTAAATTATTTTAAAATAATTAATTAACAATAATTCACCATGCAGACACACAACCCAAAGCAAACACAACTGATGGTTAAACCACAAGTGACCAAGAGATTTTTTTCCCTTAAAAACCACAATATTTCCAAACCCAAGTCTCCATGTACACAATTCCTCACTAAAGGCATGAGAAGCACCTCAGGAACTTTTCCTTTCCACTTTCTGCTCTTCCACCACGAGGACAAGGACACAAAGCAAACCCCCAAAAGTCTTGAGTGCATTTATTCCCAAACTGGGGTTCTCTCCTCAGTCTCACAGTGCACCTGCACCAGTTTGCATTTGTCCTCTGCAGAGCCAAGCAGAGAAAGCACAACCAGAGAGAGGGGCAGATGTGCCAAACCAATCCATGACCTCACTTCACCCCTTTCCTCCCTCTGCTCCACGGGAGAGGGATGGCAATCCCAAAAAAGCACTGGTGGGATCCAAAGGAGAACACACAAGGCAGGAGAAGTTGGTGGCATCTTAAGGAAGAAAAAAAAAAAAAAAAAGGGAATCCAGGAGAGGGGAAAGGGAGGGTTCCAACTGGCAAAGAGGAATGCAGTGCTCCAGAGACAAAAAACCAGTTAAAAGCAGCAGAAAAATGAAGAAAAGTGGTGATGCTCTGTGGATCTTTGAGGCCCATTCTGCTCTTTGAGGCAAGGCTCATTGTTTGGGTTGGGTTTGCACAGTGCCTGGCACTGCCAGGGCTGCTGAGCTGGCACACAGAACCATGTGGAGGGTGTTTGGGCACGGTGGGGTCTGTGTAAAATGAGACTGGGGGAAAGTGAGCAAAGGAAATTGTGAGGTTTCATGAAGAGGCAGATTCCACAGATCCATTTCTAGAGCTGCTCTCAGAGGGGAGAGGAATGGAGGAATCACAATGGACCAAATGGCAGAAAAATCCTGCCTGGAAGGAGCTGGCAAAGAAGGGAAACTATCAAGGAGATGCATTAGCAAATTTTTAATGGAAATTACACTGCCAAATAGGACTGACTGACTTCCTGGAGTCTGTGGCTCATCCGTATTTTCACACTGCTGCTTTTATCTGGCCAGAATGTCTCTGCTAACTAGAAAATGGGTTTGCTTTGTTTTGTTTTGTTTACAAAGGAAAATAATGGGGTGGGGTGGGGAAAACCACAAAAAAATGCAGCCAGTGCTTACTCTCCGGATGTACTGTCTCTCATGCTGAAAATATATGGAGGAAAAACAAGAGAACAGAAAGATAAGATAGAGAGGACATGAAAACACAAGAGACCCACAGAAGCAGAGCACAGCAAAGCATCATGCAGCAGGGAATGGAGCTCAGCAGCTACAGGCAGAAGCAGTAAAGAGCCAAAGGCACCTCTAGGCTGGTGACAGAGCCAGGGTTTGGCAGCAGCCAGGTCAGGCTGGGGCATCTGCTCACAGCCCTTATCTGCCACAGCTGGGCCCACCTCGGTTTGTATTTTATTCTTAAAGCCACTGCCTCTGTCCCAAGATCTGTTCCTGCCCGTGCTACACCCGATGCTGCTCACACCCAGCACGTTCCTGCCTCTGCCTCTCCCCTCTGTCAAACCTCACCTCGCTGTTCCAGCCACAGTCACACATTCTGCTGGCCCCCATTCTCATATTAATGGCTGCAGCAGGGCAGGAATGGTGACAGGAATGGTGGCAGGAATGGTGGCAGGAATGCTGGCTGCCTGTGGCTGGCTGCTGCATTTGCCTATGGCTACCTCAGAGCCACCGTGCAAAGGTGACACCAATTTGTGCCTGGAGCAGGGCCACTGGTGCTGGCACAAAAAAAAAAAAAAAAAAAAACACCAAGGCAGAAGCAAAGGGTGGTTGGTGTTTCTCTGGGGTTGGCAGGAAACGATTCCTGAGAATGAGAGATGCAAAGGGCTTGCAGGGTGGCAGCTCTGTTTGTCACCGGTGTCACCACATCCCAGCCCCCCTGCGAGAAACCAGAGGTGCAGGATGTGGGGAGCATCACGACAGTGACCAAAAGGACAAAGCTTCTGCTCTCTGTCTCTGGCATCCCTCTGCTCAGGATGTCAGCCCTCCTTTGCCAGTGCTGAGCCATTTCCACCTCCTCCTCCTGGAAATGGTCAGAGTGCCCCAGTGCCACTGCAAAGCCCCTTGGCACCTTCCCCCCACCCAGCCCACAGCCACCCAGGGACAAGAGAAACAGGAGTACTTACATTATACCAACTCTGGCTTTTCTGTAAGGACAAAATAAAAGAGAAGCATTAGTTAGCACAGAGATCTTAGGATCAAAAAGAAAGAGGGACAGAGAAAAGCAGGTCCAATCTGGTTTGGATCATTAGTGAAGTGAAAGTGGGATTAAACAGAAGATTTCAATGGATTTCACCGTGTGGTCTAACACAGTTATCCCCAGTTCCAGGAGCAAGGGACAAATCCAGCAGCAGGAGTCTGGAACAGGAAACAGTTCAGGCCAAGGTGTGCATGTCCACATGCACACACACACAGACATGCTGCCACCTTCTGCAGACCAGCAGTGCCACCAACAACAGAGGAGCTCATCATCATCATCACCACCATCATCACCATCATCATCAACAGCCACCTCTTTAGGGGCTTCATTCTTCCAACTCACATTGCCCTGAACAGCCCTTAAAGCACTGCTAAGGGCAGGGACACAGCTTTGCTCACAAAAGGCAAATGTTCCAAGGGTATTTTGAATTTTAAAAGGGAGACACACACACAGAGTCAGGAGAAGTGTAGAAAAATCGCTAGAGAAGCTAAGCAAGGAAAAAAAAAAAAAAACGCGGAGATTTTTTTTTTCAGCATTTCAGTGCACAGTGTTTTGCATCATCTGCACATGTGATGGTTTTTTATTTTTTTTTTGTCCTTATCATGGCATTTCAGATGGTTGGAGAGGACAGGCCACACGTCACACTGGAGCACACAAAAGAGCTGGCTCAGCTTGGGAAGTCACGCTTGGCAATTTTCAGCTGGAGGTGAGATTTGTCTGCACGGGGAGAGGAAGAAATGAGCTCCCAGTGCACCAGGCTGGCTTTCACACACAGGACACTGGGCAGAGCTGCCAGGAGACACAAGAATCCCCTTTTTTGGGGGGATTTGCCTCAGGGCAGTGAAGCCTGGGGCCACTGGAGCTCCAGCTGTGCTGCCCCCCTCTCCCAAACCCATCCATTCGTGGGAGCTGAGGATAACACACAAGGACAGCAGCAATACTTCACTGCCTTCCCTCCTTTGAAGCCATCTTGCACCTGACCTTGGAGAATTTTCCAGGCTTTGCAGCCCATTTGGAACAGGAAGGGAAACATTGTGTGCTGTGGGAGTTTCACTGGGAATTCCCTGGAATATTCACAGGGCCACAGAAACTGCCTGCCCACCAAGGACACACAGGCTGCTCTGCCACGGCAAAGGAGAAATGTTCACGAGGTCACATTGGACCAGAGATTGCTGTGAAGATGCAGGGGATGCTCTGTTCCCACCCCTGGATCTTCCTGCTTGAAGTCCCCTGTGTGTCACTCCAGCCACAAAACCTCCCTGGATCCCATTTTTGGAGCCAGCATTTCTGCAGGATCCATTGCAGAGCTCCCAGTCTCTAATGAAAAGCCCCACAGTACTACAGTGCACAGGCTAAAACACAAAAATTTGACATTAAAAAGAGAAACATTCCTTTTTCCCCCCAAACCCTGGGGAAAGGAGATGAGCTGAGGGACTGAACACAGAGTATGGCTCATAGCTCACACTCATTCCTCCAACCAAAGGAATTTCCTCTTTCTTCCCACTCTTTTCCATACTTGGCCATACCTGATCCATTCATAAAGGATCTGGTTGAAGTCATCCCTCTCTGCAAGTAGGACATGGAAAAAAGCCTTATGCAACCCAGTCTACACTAAAAAAAGCAGCAGGGTAATTAATCTGAACTGTGCACACAGCACCTTGTCCTCAGGAGCACAGGGCCTGAGATGAAGTGATTTTCCTGCAGATTTGTTTTGCCATCTGTCTGCCTTAATGAGCAAAAGGCGTAACTCAGAAATTCCTGGGGGGGAAAAAAAAAAAACCCTCATAATCAAACTATAATTGGCACACACACAACAGAGGCACTGCTGTCACTGTGCCTGCTAAATCAGGGTGCCCAGGCTGTGGTGTCAGCACAGCCCAACAGGATTTCAGTCCCCTCTGCTGCATTCATTGCAGGAATTTTTTTTTTTTTTTTTCTCTCCTCACATTTGAATTTCCCCAAATCAAGGGTCCTCTATGAAGGAGTTCTACAGGTTCTTCTTTAAGGTCTTCCATACAAAAAGATTATACTGACATCCATAATTACACTGATAGATGTAATTTTACCAATATCCTTAATTATACCAACACTCAAACCTCATCTTTTCCACCAAGTTCAACAGACTTGTCCAAAATCCAAACAACTCAGCTTTTAAATCTCTCTTCTATTTTATCTTTTATTTTTAACTCACTGAGATGTGAACTGTGAAAATCAAGAGACAGTAAAATGGAGAGGGGAGAGGAAAAGAAAGAAAAAGGAAAAACATATTCTTACTTTGAGCAGGTTAAGTCTGTCATACTGGAAAAAGAAACCAAAAGCATTAGAACTGAAAAGAGAAAATAAATAGGTAACAGAAGGAGAGGGTTGCACACAGACAGGGAGAAGATGGGACTGGTTTGCAGAGATGATGCTACAGGAGCACAGAGCAGAGCTCGTGGTTACAAGGGGGCTGTGACCAGGAAGAGCTTTGGAGGAACACGAGAAATGGAATATTTTCTCTAAGCTTTTAATTGTTGCCTCTAAACAGTCATGATTTAGAGAGCTCCCATCTGTGTGCATCGCTAGGGAAGGTTACAGCTCTGCAGGGCTCTCAGGTCACACAAAACTTCATCCTCATAACTCCACCCAAAGTGAGTTTCTACCTCTCAGCATCACTGGCAGCAGCATCACAACTCACCCCTTGCTGCTCCCAGGGGAACAGAAACCTTTTTCCAGGTGAATGGCATCCACAGAGCTCTAGGAGCACCCCTAAATCCCTTTCACACCTGGGGCAGCAGAGGCACAAGAAGCAGAGCTCAGAACAGATTCCAGAGCTCTCTCTCTCCTGATCTGTGCACTCACAAAAGCTGCACTGCTTCTAAATGGCCATAACTCAAGGGAATTGATGGAATTTATTCCCCAAACCCTCACCCCCAGCCCCAAATCATCAGAATTTCATTACCTACTACCTAAAGGGGGTTTCTCCCACCCAGTGGGAGGGGTGAATGAGAAGACACAGCCAAACTCTTCCCATCGTGGCACACTGGAAGGACAAGGTGCAACAGCCAGGAGCTGCAGTAGGGGAAATTCTATTTGGGGAGGGGGAAAAAGCCTCTTCACAAGAGTGGTTAAGCACTGGAGCAGGGGCCTGGCCAGGCTGTGGGATTGCAGCCTCGCAGGGCTGCAAAATGTGGCTGGACAAGGGTTTAGATCAAGCTGATTTAACCCTGCTTTGAGCAGGGGCTTGGGTGAGACCTCCTGAGACCCCTCCCGACCTAAACTGCTCCACAACCCCCAGGACCTGCACCAAAATGCGTATTTTCCCCTTAACTTATTATTCATCCTCAGCATTCACCATTAGCTACAGGCATTGGGAAGAATCTCAAGGAAACAACTTTTATCATTGGGCAAGGGCAAAATAGTTTAAAAAATAGATATTTCATCATTGGCTACTAGCAAAGAGATGGGGTTTTGCTGAGTTTGGAAAGCTGCCCCAGAAAAGCCTAAGGCTGACTCAGACCTTGGCACAGCGGTGGGGTCAGGGTGGCAAAGAGAGCTCCGGACAAGATTCCCTCGGGATGCAATTCCAGTGCTTAAAAACTCCTGGTGGAGCACTCCCTCTGACGGCAGAGCTGCAGCACGACAGAACACCACAGACAAAAGAGGGCAGGGAACTCAAGCAGATCTGTCAGCAATTGTACCAACACAGCAGCAAACTCATGGGCTCAAGCTGTTCCACCTCATTAGCCAGACAGGTTGGGAAACCAAATCATTCTTCCTGCAGGAGATGGGTGGGGAGAGGAGAAGAGGCTGAGAAAGGAGAGTTTAAAATCTTTGCCCTCGAGGTTTTTTTTTGTTCCTAACCTCTCCCTGTATGAGCAGACAACAGAATCGTCTGCGTGGGGAGAAGCAGGGGGGGTTCAATGCCTGAAAATTCTTCATTTGTGTCAGAGGAAGCAGCTTGTGGAGCACAGAACAGAGCTCCAGGCTGCACACTCGATGATCCTCGTGGATCCAGCTCAGAATATTCTGTGAGCAGGGCAGGAGGCCCTGACAGGCGCTCCTGCCTGGGATCCCCTTCCCTCTGAACTCATTTGGGTCCACTTCCCTCCAGTTTCCTCAGCTGCCTCACAGTGGTTGGGTTTTTCCCTCTCAGAGAAGGAAAAAGTGGTGCAGGACCTCCCAGCACCACTGCACACACATTTTACACACACATGCCTCTGTTCCAGGCTTCTTCCCACCAATCCCTCTCCTCAAACCCTCTGACATCCAGCCTGTCCTGGCCCACACACCTCTACTCACCAGCAATCCTGTCAGGACTCTGCTACTCCAGACCTTCCACAGCACTTCTTTCACACCTCACCTTGAGACTTTAGTCCCACAGTGCTCCTCTGCAGTTATCCCAGCTACAGATACCAAGCACAAGACAATCTGTCTAAAAAAAAGACGTCAAGAAGCTTCCAGCAGACACCAGCAAACCATGCAAGGTCAGGCTGGTCACAGGGACCATGACCAAGGGAGGACAGTGAGCCAGCACTGCTCTCTGAGAACTTGCCTACAAGGAAACCTGAGGCATCCACTGGGGAAAGGCCAAGACAAGGATTTTGTGGATTTTTGTGAAGCCATCCAAGCCATTCTGCTTTCATAAAGTGGAAATGCCAACAGCCTGGCACTTTCTCCAACAACATCCCACCTGTGTTTCTGATTTTTCCACTCTTCTGAGGGTAGCACAGAGATGTGAGATCAAATCCCAAACGATCTTATCTCCAATTCAAGCACCCAGAGCGGGATCTTCCACTTATCACCTCTCAGAGCGAGCCCATGAATTCTCACAATTCATTTGGGACAGGTCTGTTCTACCACGTTCAAGCTGGGTCCATTTGAAATCACTGATCTTTAATATTTGCATCACACAGGAGAGGGTGCAAGGGCAGTAAGCTGAGATCACTGGCCACAAAAATGCTATTCATCATGAAAAGCAGGGAAGAAGTCATGGAGAACAACTCTTGTTTCTGAAATCATGGAGGAAGAAGACAAGAAAGAGAAGGGATCATGGTTCTGCTCAACTCCAGAGGATTTCTCCCTGGCAAAGACAGCAGCTCACTTCAAGGGAGAGGGGAAAGCAGAACTTAAAGGCTGAAATGATTTGGGAGCAGCTGAAGGGGTTTGATGAACAGGCCAGCTCTCAGTCTGTGTGAGCAAATATCAGTGAGATCCCAGTGATGTCAGTGAAGCCAGCTTCCAGCTACAGGCACGGGGCTGAGCTCTTGCTGACATTCTCACAGCCACAGCAGGAGAATGCCTGACTGGGGTCAGCACTCAGCACCACGGGGAGGGTTCCTGAGTGATGAGGCAGCTCTACAGTGGGGGACAGGAGAGAAAAAAGAAGGCTTACTTTGGAGAGGCGCTTGTGTGACTTAAATCGGAGAGAAAGCATGCAGGAATGAAAAGAGAGAAATTAGGGAAAGAAGAAAAATTACCTCATAGATCAAGAGAAGGAAAACCCACACACCCAACAGAGAGCATTGGACCCCCTCTTCCTTGTGGAAAGCACCAGGAATTAAAGTTAAGCTTTAGTAGTCACTGTGTTGGTAAAAATCTCACTCCCATGACCTTAATTCACAGCGTTTTGAGGGCCAGGGAGATGCAGCTCCTTCCTCTCTGTGGTTCCTCCTTCCCAAGGAGCCCATTACCCTGAGAGCATCCCCAGCGTGGCTCCGAGCACAGCGTGCCCTGCATCCTGCCTGCCTCCCATCCCACTGCTCCCTTTTGGGAACACAGTGCTGGCAACCCCGTGCTGAGGGTGTCACCCAGCCCTGGGACGGGGTTTGTAGGTCACTGTGTGCACAGGAAGCCAGGCTGACCTCAAGGGCAACTCAGAACGCCAATGATTCAGCTTGAAAAACCCTTTCCCCCCCTCTTTTGAGCTCAAAGACTCCCCCTGTAGTGGTGAGAGATCAGAATGTGGGCCACCGAGTCCTGCTCCCTCTGCTGAGTGGCCACAAAGGGGAGGGGGTGAAGATTTCTTGTCTGTGACACAATCCAGCAATAAAGATCTAACATTCATTTTATACAAGTCATCAGAGTTCAGCCTGTGAAATTACTTAGGCTGAAACATCTCACTTCAAAACTCTGGGCAAACACAAGTGCTCCTGACAGCTAACACATCACTGATACCAGGGCTGTGACCAAAGGTTTGTTTGGTACCTAGGGCTCTATGTGTGCGTTTTACCAGGTCCCACTGCTCACATAAAATCCTAGAGCCAAACCTGAAACCCTCTTCCCCTGCACAGCAAAGACAAGTCTCTAGTATGATCCATGATCCAAAGACATCAAACCTTCCTGGGGAAAATATCAGCTACCCTGGGTAAGTCATGGAAAGAATGGGCAGAGGGTTGGAAAACTGATTCTGTGCAACTTGAACTGATCTCAGAGGGCTTGGATAGGACTGGGGAAATGCATAGGGAAGGGGAAACTTTATTTATTTGATGCCCCTTCATGATCCAGATGATAAAAAGTAATTGCAGCTGATTTTCAATGTCTTTCACAAAACCACAGAGCCTCCCAAGGAACAGAACCTCGACTACAGAAAGTTGTAGACTCAGAGCTGTGCTCAAGTCTCACCCAGGCAAAGGACTCTGAGTTCAGAGAACCTTGAGGATCACAATGGGTGAAGAGGGAGGGAGAGGAGCCAGAGAAGAGGAAGGCAGAGGACAAAGGCAGTGCAGCGAGCCCAGCACCGCACACGCCGTGCCCAGAGCCCTCTGCTCGCCCTCACCTTGGAGTTCTTGGCCCCGCTGCGGCCGGACTGGGAGGAGCAGCTCCTCTGGACTCCCTGCTCCGGCGTGGACGGGGACTTGTCCGAGGAGTGGTCGGAGCCCTTCTCCACCATGGCGTCCCCGGGCGCGTCCTGCGGCGTGGGCGAGCGCGAGCGTTTGCGCAGGATGGGCGAGCAGGCGGGCGTGCTGCGGTTGGAGTTACTGGCGGTACTGCAGGGAGAACACAGCACGGTCAGGGCACCCCAAAATGGCACAGCTGCACCCCCAGAGCTCCCACAGCACCCCCAGGGCTCCCCACAGCACCCCACAGTAACAGAGGTACTGGCAGTACTGCAGGGAGAACACAGAAGAGTCAGGGCATCCCAAAGTGGCACAGCTGTACCCCAAGCTGGGCAGCACCCCAGAGAACCCCACAGCACCCCCAGAGCTCCCCACAGCATCCCCAGAGCTCCCCACAGCACCCCACAATGACAGAGGTACTGGCAGTACTGCAGGGAGAACACAGAAGAGTCAGAGGGTCCCAGAGTGGCACAGCTGCACCCCCAGAGCCCCCACAGTGACAGAGGTATTGGCAATACTGCAGGGAGAACACAGAGGGTCAGAGGGTCCCAGAGTGGCATAGCTGCACCCCCAGGGCTCCTCACAGCACCCCCAGAGCCCCACAGCACCCCCAGAGCTCCTCACAGCAGGCAGGGCTGCTTCCTGAACTAACGAAGCCCAGGGCATGCAGGCAGTTCTCATTTCCCAGAGGCAGAGGAACTGCTGGCAGTGCCTTTCTCCACCCACCCTTCCATCCCTCACACCACAGAGCAATGCCCGACAACGAGCTCCTCGACTCCTGTGGCCGACTGGAGTTTAAATGATGGCCTGAGCTGAGAAAAATCCAACGTGCACTCAAGGGCCAGAGAGGTGTCAGTGTGTTCTCAACACGCTCTGTCCCTCCTTTATCACTGCAGCTCCTCCCCACAGGATGCACGAAAATGGGGTCACACCTTTCAGAAAACACCCCATCAAAGAGATCAGAAACTCTGGGGCTCTGGGAGGGGAGTCATGATGACATTCAATGCAGCATTTCCTGTACAGAACCATCGTTTCCCACACCAGTTAGACCTGGGCATGAAAATGGTTTGCTGTAACCTAAAAGCCTTTGTGATTAAAAAAAAAAAAAAATGTTCCTCTTTCACAATGGGAAAAGCAAGGCCCATCAGTTTTACAGAAATTATGAGGGGAATGGAACTTCTCATCCTCTTTCCTCAGCAAATGCCTCAGCACCCAGATCAGCAAGCCAATAACATGCATAATAATACAGAACAGGAAAACTCAGATTTCCTCACTGCTCCTTCTCTTTTGATGCCTCTCCTTCCTGCCAGACTCTTCAAAATACCACACACTACACCCATTTTTCCTTCCATCACTCATTTCCTTCGGGAGTCAAATCTATTTCTGACAGTCCACACATCCTCAAGGCTTTTCCACCTGGTCCTGCTCAAGTCAGCAGGTTACAGAGCAGGCTGATCCAAGGATTGGATCTGTGCTAACTTCTTCAGGACCCTGCTATCTCCTGAGCAGCACCAAACAGGCCACAAGTGACAGCAGAGGCAGCAGGAGAAGGATGGAGGAGCTACAACTGCAAGGGACTGAAACAAAGAAGTTATCACAATCAGACTCTTAAGGGCTGTGATTTAAGGCAGGTTGCATACAGCAATCACAATGATGCACAGCGAGGTGCTCCAAATGGATCATTTCCTCCTGAAAATCTAGGAGCTGAACACGTGCCTGAGGTTCCATTAATTCCCAGATAAAAACCATATCCATCTCCTCTTACCTCTGAAGATGCCAAAACCATTTTACAAGCATTAGTTAGATATGAGCAGCCAGTGTCACACACTCCTCCAGCAGTCACCAGGTTTGGGTTGGTTTGGTTTTGGATGAACTGGTCTTGTAAATTATCCTTTATTTGCTGACTGCTTGTGTCAACACACAAGTGATGAAACTTTGCCTGTACAGCCTGCAGGAAGCACACAGCCAAGCTGCTTATGCAAACAGGGCCAGAATCAGATTTCCTAGGAGCTGGCACGGGGCAGGAACAGCAGCATGGAGCTTCACAGGAGCCCCTGAAGATGCTTTCACTGCTATAAAGTGTGGAATTTCATGCAGATAATGAACAGGCTTGGGAAAGTGGGTTTGCAAAATGTTCTGTAGGCAGGAAGGTGGATAAAGTCAAACTGTTCTGTTACCTATTTCTACTCAGTAGGATGAGAAATATAAACATAGACCAACAAAAACCTGTTCAAATATCACCTAAACCCCAAGGCAGCTCCAGTACAAAGACAGGCAGAGCAATTCCCCCCCCTTGGCTTGGGGTTCTTCACAAGGAGCAATGGCACACCCCCAAGTGAAATATTGTCACATCATCTTGTCCTGTGCCCTCCCTTTCCCTGGACAAGGCACAGGAATACTGAATGCTAAACCAGTGCAGCAATAACTGTAGCAATATTCAAAACTTAATCCCCTCAAGTAACAGTTGAAGCAAAAGACAAATCATAGAATGCTGGACCATTCTCCCAGCAGCACTGCCTGCAGCAGTTTAGGTATAACGTGAAGTAAAATTATCAGGGATTTCTTAGTTTATTGAAGTATTAAAAAGCATCAGGTTCCTTCACAGGTTTTCATCTGATCCAGTAAAAATGAGTGTTTCACCTTGTCTGTGCTCCTGCTAAACTCAATTTTAGCAGCCCAGCAGAGCTGTTTTAGTGACTCCAAGTTCATCAGCAGTGCTCTCAAAGATGGACACGGTTCTGAATTGCCATTTTTTATGAACTGTAGAAAAAGCAGACTTCTAGTGAAAATCTCTGAATTCTGAGCCTGTCCCCAGCGTGCTTGAGGCAACATAAGCTGGTTTATGTGAGAGGCCCCCAAAAATACAAGGCAAGAATTTGAATGCATTGTCCCTGACTAGCACATCACTGGGTTAAACCTGCCTGAACAGATGTATTAATTTTTCCTCTACAGCTCTATAAAACCTGAGTTTAGCACAACCTCCATCTCATTTTCGGTTCGTGCGAGTTCACAGTTTCACTTTGAGCTTGAGTTTAGAGCAGCTCTGTACAGACCAAGCCTAATTCAGTCCAGGCTCTGTTTGCTTTCAGTTTGCAGTTTTGAGATTTTGCTGCTGCCCAATTAAAGCTCAGAATGAGCAGCTCAAAACCAGGGTACAGCTGCCATCACATGCAGGTGAAACTCGAGATGAAAAATGCTGGAAAGTTTAGTGCTATTTTAGTCTTTTTATGGTCTTACAAAGGTCCTCAAGGTGGGTTTTTCAGTCACAGCCCAGCAAGTCCCAGCTGCACAGGAGCAGCATCAGCACTGACTTGCTTAGAGCTGGCAATTTTATTTTTGCCCAGCTCCCACTGCCATAGCCACAGCTTTTAGTGCCAGCTCTGCCAAGCACAACCTTGGGCAGATTCTGTCTTCTGTTTTAGTTTAAACAATTAATCCATCCACATAAATCATGTTAGGTGTGTGTGGATTCTCACCTTTGCAGAAATACGGGGGGAAAAAGAATAACATCAAGGGCTCCTTCTTTGGCTCTCCCTGAAATCAGCAGCACGAATATCAAACCCAGGAGGGCTGAATTCCCCTCCTCTCTCTGATGACTCGGAAAAGCTGAATATTTCTCCCATGAAGGACTCCACAGACAGAGAAAATGACGAGTCTGTGAAGTGAGGATGGGCACGGAAAGCACAGGGCTGCCCCTGGCCCGAGCCCCTCCAAAGCCTCCCTGCTCCTGCTCATTCCCTGCACTTTGAATCCAGCCCAAGGCACAGCCATGACGAACGCTTTCTGCAGTTGCCATGGCTACCAAGGCTCGCAATTGAACCAGGAATCAACGCCTGAAATGCCAAAACGGCTTGACCCACTTTGAAAAAAAAATAATTGTAATAAATAACGCTTTAGAGACCTAATTGCCCAGAGTGCATTCAGGACCTCACATCCCCCTGCAGAGTAGCCTTCAGTGGATGAGACACATTAAGTGAGGGACAGAACACAAACAAGCCCACCTAAGCAGCAGCCCCTTTGCTCTGAGGTGAAAACCCCTGCACAGAGCATTTGAAAGCACAGAAGGCTGAGTTTGTCTCCTTGGTTTATGCCCTTGCTGTCCCTAAAGGAAAAACCTCATGGAAAAACCAGCAGCAAGAGTGGTGTGGATGGGAAGGGGCCAAACTCTGCTCAGACGTGGAGGAAAAGCATCAATATCTGCAGCAGTGTACTAAAGATTCTGTAGCCTGCCAGTTTCTTGAAGCTGGAGAGGGTTTTTAGCAGAAATTGTAGGGATAGGACGAGGAGTAATAGATTCAGACTGAAAGAAGGGGAATTTAGGTTGGATAAATGGGAGAAATTCTTCCCTGTGAGGGTGGGGAGGTACTGGCAGAGAGTGCCCAGAGAAGCTGGGGCTGCTCCACGCCTGGAATTCCAAGGATGGGGCTTGGAACAACCTGGGACAGTGGAAGATGTCCCTGCCCATGGCACAGGGGATGTTTAAGGGCCTTTCCAAACCACTCTGGGATTCTACAAGCTTTCCTTCAGCTGGTGAAAAAGAACATTTGGCAAGGCAGGGATCAGCCCCTGGTCATACCCTGCCCTCAGACAGCAGGGAAAGCTCAGAAAGGCCAAATTTCCTCCTCCAACAGAGCATTTCCTGTAAGGATCTGAACCAGGTGATGGACAGAGCTTCACCAAGCAGTCACTCTTGGGAAAGGTACTCCACAAGTTAAGCTTGGTGTCCTTAAAACAATAAAGGAACTCTTGACAATGATTTCATGGAGAACTCAACAAGAAACGTGATTTTGCTGCAGTCTGTTCAATGAATTCTGCATGAATGACACCCAGGCAGTGCTGAAGTGACACAACAGCCTGTCCATCCCACCAGATCTGAACCACAGACATCTCTGGGATTGACACAAGCACCCTGCAGCAGTTCTTCCCCAAATCCCAGGTGCCCCAAGAGCCAGCAGCCACCTCCAGAAGGGCATTGTCACAGCACCTGTGACACAGATTAACACAGCAAATCCCTTTGGGTCTGCCACTTGCAGGATATGAATTAGGATTCAGCCAGAAGGAGGAAAAAGACCAAAGAATTTTGCAACTGGAGCAGCTCAGCTAAACAAGCAGCAGGTACACAGCACTCACCACCTTCACTGTGACCACCA